AACTAACTCACTATCACTCCCTATATTCAATCACTTCTCTTCACTCACTCACTAACTCACTTCTCACTAACTAAATCACTCATCACTTACTCACTAACTAACTCACTCAACTCACTCACTCCTAACTCACTCTCACTAATCACTATACTCAACTAAATTATCACTAACTCACTCACTCAATCACTAACTCACTAACTCAATAAATCCTCATTCTTATTATATCTCTCCTCCCCCAACCCCCCACCCACCATTCAAAAACACACCACATACATACCATAACAAACACACTCTAAAAAAATACCTTACCCCCCTCAAACCCATAATCCCCCCCCTCAATACCCCCAATACCACCACACCTCCCTTACACTAACCCAATCTCCCCCTCCCAAACCCAAATACCCCCCCCCCCCCATAAACCTCTTTCATCATATAAATCTAATTCAACTACCTCACCTCATCTTAAACAATCCAAAACTAACCTTTCTCCCAACAACCATCTTAAAAAAAATAAAAACTAAACTTCCACCCCTTAACAAACACTAACAACCTTTCAACTAAAACAAATCACAACACATACCCAATCATCAATAAAAAACTACACCCATAACAACACCACCCTAATATAAACCATACAATCCATACCCCAATTTCACTTAACTCTATTAATCCCAAACTACCCCCACCTCTTCTTATTAAAACCTACCCACATCCCCATCACAAAACAACCCCCAACAAAAAAAAATAATAATATAATCTTATCAATAAATCCACCCCCAATTTTATCAATATACCCTAAATCTAACCTCTCTATATCATATACAATTTTCTTTCTAACACTTATCCACATTCACCTAAACAACCAACTTAAACCACCCCAATAAATACTACCACTCCAAAAACATCACATACCTCCCCCCCAATTAATACCATAACTAAAATCATTCCCACCCACTCCTTCATATTCATCTTCTTATTTTCCCATATCTCATTATATCTAATTTTTCTTTTACCCAACCCATCCCCCCATCCACCTTACCTCCAAAACAACCCTCTAACCATCTCTTAAATAATTCATCACCACATTCCCTCTCCTATAATACCCTATAAATAAAATATAAAACCCAAAAAAAAAACAATAAATCCATTCATAATCATATTATATTTCATACATAAAACAACAACACAAAAACTAACAAAAAAAATTCCCCAATACCTATAATTTATCAATAGATAACATACACCCCATTACACACCAACCAACCAAAACTAAACACTCCATCACAAAACAAAAACCAAAAATATAGATCCCCACCAACAACAACAACAACAACAACAACACACAACACACAATAACACAACAAACCACAACACACACACAAACACAACTCACAACACACAACAACACCACAACAACAACAACCACACAACAACAATACAACACAACACAACACAAAACAACAACTCACACACAACAAAAAAAACACACAAAAAACCAACAAAACAAACACACACAAACAACACACAAACCACAAACAACATCAAGAAAACACCTACTCAAACTACAAACGACACCTCAGACAAACAACTGAGTATAACCACAAGTAACACAAAAAACCAAACACACAAACAACACACACACAACGAACTAACAACTGTCCAACAATGTGAGTGTGACTGCATAATGACAACAACACAAAGACACAAACACAACACAAACAAAAACAAATCAAAACACAAAACACAACAACTAAATCAACATTACACATCAATAAAAATTCAAAATAAACATCCCATAATACTCCCACCTATCTACAAATATAAATCAAACTCATCTACCAAACAATAAACCCCAAAATCAATCCCAAATATATAACTCTTCTATATTATATTTAATTTTCTTCCCCCATATAACCATCACAACACTACCAACTTCTTTCATTATCCTTTAATCCACTCACAACATCATTAAACTTTACAAACACTTCCCAACTTTCCCACAATCCATTTTATACACCCCTCCTCTCCTAAAAAATACTTCTATATCTTTTATCCCATCACAATAATAAAAAAACCATAACTTCCATATTCTAATTACAACTTCCCTTCTTACCCAAACCATCAAAAAACCCCTACATATATACAAACACCAAAATCACATAAAAAAAAACAAAACACACACAAAAAAACCAACACCAAAACCTATAAATCCCCCATCAAATTCCACTATCAAATACACACCACAACTAAACAAATCTAATTCAACCAACTAAACCCCAACACCCCACAACAAAAAACTACTACTTCACACTACTAATCCCCCTACCTAATAAACCACTAATCCCCCCTATTAATCAACCTACTACAATTCAACCTCATCAACATTAACCCCACAAAAAACCAACAAATCCCCCCAAAAAAACAACACACCACTCATTCAACCTACCTAATTCAACCTACTCATCCCCCTACTATAAAACATACTACATTCACTCCTAATCTAATACTACAAATCTAATTTAACCTTCTAATTCACACTCACTAATTCAACTATCTACATTCAAACTAATCAACCTCAATACCCTATATTTAACCCACTACATTCACACCCTAATCCCCCTATCTCATTCACCATTATTAAACCCATAATTCCCACTAATTTCAACTTTAATTCAACCCCTACATTCAACCTCTCTAATTCAACTACCACATAAACCTATAATTAACCTACTAAATTACCCCCACAATTCAACCTTCACTAAATTTAACATAATAATATCATTCTATCAAACAAAACCAATATTAACAACTAAAAATAAAAAACATTTCAATCAATAAAAACATCACTACTCCCACCCCCCCCCCCTCCCCTAACACATAACCCTATCAAAACTTACTCTCATAATAAACATATCATATCATCTTAATACCCAATCACTCCCCCACACATCTTTCATTATATTTCAAAAAAACTTTCCATATCAAATAAAAATCTCTATCAACTCATTATCTCCAAATACTACTCCTCATCCTTTACCATAAAATTCTCACAAAAAATTAATCTTATTCCAACCCCTCTACCTCTTCACTATTCCTCTTTCTTTAATCAATTAAACTATTCTTTCCTTAACCAATAATCCTTTTTTCATATTACCACCATACAACTACTTTTAATATAATTTAAAATCTTTTTCCTCACCAACTCTTTAATTTTCCTCTTATTCCTTATTTATCTTTACTTATTCCTTATACTTATCTTATTCTTTTTCCATCTACTTTTAACAAATCTTCCATCCTTTTACTCTTCCTCCTCCTTAACATACTCACTCATAATCAATCAAAATACACCATATATATACTTTCTAACTCTACAAAACCATATACCCACTATTCACACATTCAAAAATAAAACAATCACCTCCCATCCATCTAAATAACTTAACCTTCCCCTCCCCCCCTTAATTAAAACTTAACAATCCTCTTATCTCCTAACAACCCTCCAAACTCTTTTCAAATTATTTCTATCCCACCCATCACATTATCCTCTCATCAACAATTTCTAATTCCCTCTACATTACCTCTCAAAACTCCTCCAAACCTCATTATCATTATTTTCCTCCTTACCCTACTTATCCCACCCCCTTATCCCACCTTTCCATCCTTATTATCACACCCTTATTCCCCCCTAACATTTTCACACCTTCTCCTTTCTTCATATATTTTCACATATTAACTTTCATTAATATTTCAATCTTCTCCTTTCATTAATTTTCAATATTTCCTTTATAACCAATTTCAAACTTATTCTCTTTCACTTCATATCTAATTTAAACATCTTCTTTCATTCACATATTTCCAATCTTTCCTTTTTCTATTACATATTTCAATCTCTCTTTCATTACATATTTCAATTCTTCTCCTTTCATTCCCATATTTCACTCTTTATCTTTCTAATCATTTCCACAATCTTCTCCTTTCATTACAATTTCCATACTTCTTCTTCATTATATATTTTCAATCTTCTCCTTTCATATCCAATAATTTCATTTCTCCTTTTTCACCTATTTCCAATCTCACTTCCTTACAATTTCCAAACTTCTTCTATCATTAATATATCCATAATTACCTATCATTACATTTTTTCAATCTTCTCTTTCATTAATCTTTACCCCTCTACTTCCACCACATTTTCTTATCAAACCTCAACATTCCCCCACCCCCCCCCAATCCCATATCTCATTACAAACAATCTTATACCTAACCCCATATCATTTACAAATTCCTACCCCCCAACCCCTACTCTACATTATATATATCATTATTATTATTATTCTTTATCAATCCTAATCTAATACCCCTAAATCCTTTATATATTACCATACTACTAAACCATATATTCTACCCCATCATAAACAAAACAACAACAACAACAACAAAACAACAAAACACAAACAAACAAATCTACCACACAAATAAATTAACCACTATAACAAAACTATCTAAACCCACCACCCTATAATTCCTAAACTCAAACTTCACCAATTCCTATAACACCACCCATACAACAACCTCATTTTACCCACAAAACCCCACCCCCAATCCACCCCCCCCAAAACACAACAATCATACATAAAACCACATACCTAAATCAATCCACTAAACATCATCCCCTCACTCTCTCATCCCACACTCATAACTCCTCTTCCCCTAATAACCCATTCATACATAACCATCCCTAAAAAATATTCCCCCCATCCACATCCTTCCCTCACTTACCTAAAACACCTATACACACCAAACATTTTCTTAAAAAAACATAAAAAACACCAATCAAAAAAATAATCCCATAAATCAAAATAATATCTTATCAATCCCACCCCAACACTCACAACAAAAATAACTTCACACATCTCCCCAAAAAAATAACAACCACACATAACCCAAACAAAATACTACCCAACAACACAACATTAACTCCCAACCAACCCCCAAAACAACATAACTCAAATACAACCACCTAAACCAACCACAACCAACCAAACCCATTCCATCCACCACCAAATATCACACCATATCCCCACACCCATCCCCTTAAAAATCCCTAACCCAACTACTCACACCACAATCACAACCCACAAATACAACTACCAAATCCAACTCAACACAACACAACACCCACCAACACCCCACCCACCCACACCATCCCCCCCCCCCACCCAACCATCCACAACCCCCCAAAAAATACTCTCAAACCACACCCACTTCTCAAAACTAAAACACACAAAATAACAAAACCATACAAAACAATAAAACCTAAACAAAACATCTACAACACCCCCCCAAAACTACAACCAACTACCCATACCAAATAATACTATCAAAACAATAAATCCCCAACAAACAAACACTACCTCCAACAACCCCCCCCCCCCAACCCCCCCCCACTCCCCCCAAACCCACTACAAAAACACAAAAACAATCATAACAAAATAAAATATACACTCCAATACAATTCAAAACAATCAACAATAATTTTATCTCAAAAAAACATTATATCCAACTACTAAAAACATACTCAACAATAAAACATAAATACTATCTATCAAATAACACCAACACATTAAACACACCCACCTATATTCTTCTTTATCTTTTCTTTTTTCTCTCACATTTCTCATACAATACCAACTTCTCTCTTCCTTCTTCCTATCTCATTATTCTCTCCACATCTCTTCAATACTTCCTAATTCATACTATACCCCTCCCCATTATCAAAACCACTCCTTAAACAATTACACAATATCCTAAACTCTAACCACCAAAATCATCAATCTCCCCACCCACAAAAAATCATACATACCACAAACAACAACCAATTCCACAAAATAACCACACACACAACCTCCCACACTCATTAACACCCTTAAAAAACCCAAAAAACACTACCCACCTCCACCCACTTAAAAAATCAATCTAAAACAAATAAATCCTCTTACCCCCATAAACTCCAACTCCCCACCACTCCCCTCCCCCTCACAACAAAAATATCAACAACCACCAAAAAAATAATTCTAAAACTTCCTCCCACCCCAATTATTCACACAACAACAAAGATAACCAAACACCCTCCACAACAACCCTCACAACACCCACCAACACCTACATTCACCAACCCCCCCAATACCAAACCTAAATAACAATCTTTTTCCTTTAAATTTCTCATCCCCTACTTAACTCATCTCTTTTTTACCTATTCTTTTCCCCAATTTCACACACAAATCCACTTCAACACACACCAAACAAACCACATACCAAAAAATTTACCCCCCCTCAAACACACCCACCACCCACAAAACAAAAACCAACCACCACCAACAACACAACAACATCCTCCACCCCTCAAACACACCCCTACCAAATAACAAAAACATCTCAACAAATCATTACAAAAAATTACTCTATAAATAAAATAATATTCAAAAAATACCAAACTCCCACCCATCATCCATTCTACAACCCATACAAACCTTTTACAAACCCACCCAACTAAAAAAATCACAAAAAAACTATAATATTTACACCCCAATATCTAAAAACCAAAAACAAACACCACATCACCCAAAACATCTCAATAATATACCATACCAACCCTACTACACACCAAATAACCACTCAACCTCTAAACCCTTAAACTCATCAAAAAATATAATCATACCACCCCCATATCTACTACCATTTTACCTCCTTTCAAAACAAACACACCCCCTATAACACCAAAACATCTCATAAATACCCACAATTATCCCTTCTCCATCTTCTCCCTTCCTCCTTCACCCCAAATTCTTTCTCTACACCTCAACAAATCCCCAATTCCCAAAATCCCCATATCTCCTACAAAATCATAAACACTTAACCCCCCAAAATACAATCAACCCCATCTCAAAAACCCAAAACTAAAATTAACCACACATTACTCTATAAAACCATAATACAACAATAAAAACCAACATCCTATACACAATACAATCCCCCCCCCCACCCCCACCCCACCAACAACAACCCCAAATCCCCCCCCCAATACATCCACATATACCAACAACCCAAAACCTCCAAAATAAATCTTTATTATTCTTATTTTCTTTCTCCTAACCTCTCCCTCCTTAAAACCCCCCTACCAACAATTCTACCAAAATATAACCAACACACACCCAACAACCCCCCAACAAAACCCCAAAATCCACACCAACAATTACTCACCATATAACAAACCACCCTCCTACAAAATACACACCATACACCAAAACTATAAATTACACTATCACAACCATCATAAAATCCCCCAATATATCATACAACCCCCAAACACCACAAAACCTACATCACCTCATATCTTCTAACTTATTAAAATCCCCCATTCCCCCTCCTAACAAACTATCACTACAATCTCTCTCTTCATTTCTCATAATCTCATTTCCTTTCTTACATCTACCAATCCCACCTCACATATATATATAAATTTATATATATACAACACCACAACCATATCCATACAATCAACCTCCCCCTATAACAATTCACCCTCTAAAAACCTAACTACTCACCATTCCCCAAACTAACAATTCACTCATTTATAAATTATATATAAAAATCACAAAACTAAAAATTCAAACCTCTATCATATAATTATACACCTACCCCTATCCCAAATTACCTCCTCTATCATTCAAAACATATTTCAATAATATCTTTTACACCACAACACATAAATTCATCCCCTCCCTCCTCCCCCTTTTAACTCCTATTCACACCCCAACTATTACCAACAAACCATACCAAATCTCCCTCATTACAAAAAAAAAACCAAACCCATACTTCTCCAACATATTATTTACCCCATTATTCTTTTATCATTCTCCTTTACCCCCCCTCTTACCAAACTAAACTACCACCCTCCTCAAACCCCCCTTAACTACCCCCTTTCAACCAAACAACCCCAACTAAAATATAATACCCAACCTCTATATTTCTCAAACCCTATATTCAACACACCCTCACATCTCCACAAACTAACAGTATCAAATATATACCTAACTCCCAATTCTTATTCAATCCATAAACATACATATACATAACAACCACAACCAACCAAACAACAAACACAACACATAATCCCCCCATTTCATTTCCCAAACTCATCCAACTCCTATCTTAACACCTTCATCATCAACAACATCAACAACACACCATACACTCCAACTCCTTCCTCTCAAACTCTATCATATAATACTCCTTCCCTCAATATCCTTCATCTTATACTCCCTTCCATCTTCATAATCACTTTCATCTCCATCTCTTATCTTATACTCTTTCATCTAATATCCATCATTCTAACATCACTTCATCTCATACTCCCCTTCTTAATATTCCTCATCTTATACTCACCATCATCATTATATCCTATCATTTATACTACTTCATATATATCAATATCTACAACTACTTCCTCTTCTAACTTTCATCTTAATACTACTTCATCTTAATAACCTTCATCTACTATCTTCATCTTCATACTCATCATCTCCATATTATTTTTTATTCCATCATTTATACTCACTAACAACTTAAACTCACTTCATATCAAACACATCCTCTAAATAATCACCTTTTTTACAAACACTTCCTAACACCCACCAACCAAAAAACAACAACAAAACAAATCCAACCAAAACAACAACACAACAAACAACACCACCCACCCCCCCCCCCAAATAAAAATCTTATACAACACAACAACCCCCAACAAAAACCACTCCATACAAAACACCCACAACAACCCACAACCCAACCACAACCCCCATCCCTACTAAACCTCCCCTAAACACACCCCACCAAACCAAACCCACACAATAACCCTAAACCACCTCTTCATCAAAACCCCCTCCCAAAACACACACCCTCCTTTCACCACACACATTACCTAACACCACTAAACATCACCCAACCCTCTTCATTAAACCTCCCTCTAAACTCTACACCCTCCCTTCAACTCAAACCCTCCCACAAACTAACCCACCTTCTTCAATCTAACCCTCATAACTCTAAACCTCCTCATAAACTAACCTCCTTTCAAATCTAAACCCTACTTCCAACTCTAACACCCTCCTCTCAATCTAACAACCTTCCACTTAAACCTTCCTTTCATCTCAACCCAACCCTTACAAAACACCACAACCACACCATCCATTACCAAACACCACCACATCAATAAACAACCTCACCCCCATAAACATCCCAACCACGATAAACCATACACACCACACACACACAACAACTTTCACACCCAAAACTCTAAACCACCCCTCTCCAACTCTAACCACCTATACAACACAAAACCCTCCTAAACTCAAACATCCTCACCAATTAAACTATTACTCTAAACTCATAACTACAACCACACTACAACATCAACACTTCACAACCACACACCCACCAATAAAAAACCTATACATCACATAAACCATCCCTCAAAAAAACCCAACTTCAAACTCACCAACCTCATATAAATCTAAACTCATTAAAACAAACCCTCACACCCATCACCACCACCAAACACTCTAAACACTACTCAACACTAAACCACACTCAACACAAAACCCTATCACTCACACTACCATACAACATAAACATAAACCTCCCTAACTTAAACCCTCCTCTTAACTCTAACCTCCTCATACAAACTCAAAACCTTCTTCACTACTACACCACCTTCCAACTTAAACTCCCTTACTCTAAACCTCCTTACACCCTAAACCACTCTTAACTTAAACCTCCTTAACTCAAAACTCCACTTAATCTAAACCACCACACACCATCTCACCACACCTCAACAAAACACTTCACTACTAACCCACCTCACAACACACCATAAACTCAAAACCCTCCCTTCCAACTCTAAACCTCTCTTCACAATAAAACACCACTCAACTCAAAACCTTTCTTTCACTCTAACCTCCCTCTCAACTCAAACCTCCTTAACTTAAACCACTCACCCTCTAAACCCTCCTTAACACTAAACCTCCATAACTCTAAACTCTAACAACACTAAACCCCTCACTCAACTCTCAACCACCTAAACTACTACCCCCTCCATAAATTTAACCCTCCCCTTTAACTCTAACCCTCCTCTTCACTCTAAACTCCTCATATAAACTTACATCCTTTCAACTCTAAACCTCTCTTAACTTAAATTTCTTAACTTAAACCTCCTCTCAACTCATACACATCCCCTTTAAACACAACCTCCTCTTATAATCTAAACTCTCTTAATTAACCCTCCTACAATAACACTCCTTCCACTCTACAACATCAACTCAAAACCTCCCTTCAACTCTAACACCCTTAACTTCAAACACCTCTCACACTAAAACCTCCTTCACATCTAAACCTTCCTTTAACTTACACCTCCTCTTACACCAAACACCCTCCCTTTAACTCTAACCCTCCCCTTAACCTCTAAACCCTCCTCTAAACTCTCAACCTCTCTCACCTCTAAACTCCCTAACTCTAAACCTCTCTTAACTCTAAACACTCCTCTAACTTCCCACACTAATCACTAAACCTCTCTCCACTTAAACCCTCCTCTTAAACTCTAACCTCCTCTCCACTCTAAACCTTCCATTCAACTCTAAACCCCCCCCCTTAACTCTAACTCCTTAATTAAACCTCCTCTTAACTCTAAACACCTCTCAACTCTAAACTCCCTTAACTCTAACCTCCTTAAATCTAACCTCCTCTTAACTCTACAACCTTCCTCACAACTCTAACCCTTCCTTAACTTAAACCTCCTCTTACCACTTAAAACTCCCTCTTAACTCTAAAACCTCCCTCTTAACCTAAACCTCCTTCATAACTTAAACCTCCTCTTCAATCTAAACTCCTCTTAAAATCTAAATCCTCTTAACCTAAACCTCCTCTTAACCCTACCTCCCTCTTATAATCTAAACCTACCTCTAACTTAACCTTCCCTTTCTAACTCAAAACCTCCTCTCCATACTCTAAACTTTCAAAAACCTAAACAACAACAAACAACAACACCACACCCATACAACCAATCCCTCACACAAAACAACAACAAACTACTCTACTCTAAAATAACATCATAAATAATACACTAACCAAACCTCATTACCAAAAACATACTCTAATCTAAAAACACCCAAAATATCAACACCAATAACACATACACAACACACAAATATATATATAACAACTCATAAATACAATCCCCATCCACACCCCAATTCTCCCACATACAACAAAAACCCAATTATAAACCCTACCTACCTAAATAACCAACTACCACCCTTATAATACATAAATCCTACCATACATCATAATAAAAAACCCATTCCACTTCCATTCAATATACACCACACCAAAAAAACCCACCCCAATTTCAAATCTACACCAAAAAAAATATCCTAAAACACCTAACACCATATCACAATTCAAAACAATAAAAACCATCCAACCCCCCTACCCACACTAATCCATCCCCATAAAAACCCCCCCCCCACCCCAAACACCCAACCCCCACAATCACTCACCTTTAAAACATTATCCCATAAATAAAAAAACAACCCCCTAAAAACCCAAAAAAATACCCTTCACATACCACTCATTTAATCAATATAATCCCAACATAACACATCCCTTAATTCTTTCTTTTCCCTCATACAACATTATACATATCACCCCACAATATCCACACTAAACTTCCTAAAAATAAATATCACATTACCACATTCAACAAATCCTCCCCCAAAAACCAACCCACAATAATCAAAACTATAAAATATCCAAATATCATATCTATATCACCCTTATATCTCCTATTATCATTTAACCCTCTATATCCCCTATTATCATACCCCTATAATCATACCTATTATCTACCTAAATCATACATATTATCATACCCTTATTATCATATCCCCACAATTATCAACCCATTTTATAAACCCCCCTATTATCATACCAATTAATCATAACCCCCTATTACATACCCAAAAAAACAAACCCATAATCAACCTTTCATTATTCATACTCCAATTATCCTACCCATCTAATCATACACATAACAAACCCCTAAAAACCACCACAAAAAACCTCAAAACCACCCCATAAACCTATCCCATCCCCCAACCAAAAACAAAACACCCCCCACCCCCCCCTCTACCCCCATTCTTCCAAAAACATAATACCCACAAACCATCCCAACACACACAACCATCTCACCACTCTCAACCATTCTTCCATTTCACACCTTTACTCTCAATCTCACCTTTCACACACTTCAACATTTTCCATCTTATTCCCTTACCTTTTCACTATACCACTAACACACACATCCTCATTTAAACTCTAACTCTATATCACCTCACATCTCCCATACAACCAAAACACCCACACACCACACACAAAACATAACCACACACCAACTA